TGACTGATTAAGCAGCCACATGTCGTTTCTAACAGTCAGAACCAATGTGACAGCACCTACCAACAAATGAGTAGTTTGTAGTAGAAGCAAATCTTACTCTTTTCCTGAGGTTATAAAATATTAATCAGCAATTTAATACATATAAGGAAATTTTTAACTAAAAAAACAAATTAAACATGTTGTGAGATATTATATATTCATATGCAATTGGAAGAAATAACACAGAGGTAAAGAAAACTTTCATCTATTTTTTCCCTAATATCTTAAGAGAAAACTGACATGAATAATTAACATACATTTCTATTACTATAAGTATCTTTCATGTTGCTCTTTTCACTGAACTCTATTTCCCTTTCCTCCTCTCCCCTACCTTAAGGCCTACCAGCCACCAATCTGTTCACTGTTCACAATTTTGTCATTTCAAGACTATTCCTCAATGCAATCTACTGTCAGCAACCTTCTGTGACTGGCTTTTATCACTCTGCAAATTCTCTGACGAGTTTTCCATGTTGGGTGCATCAAAAGCTGAATTTCTGAGCAGTACTCCCCGGTGTTTGTCCCAAATATTGACTCCACTATGGTCTGACTGAACCATGAACCAATCTGTCTTGGAAGAAGTACAGCTGGACTGTTCGTTAGAAGTGAGGATGGTGAGACTTTACCTCATTTGTTTCGGATATGTTGTCAAGAGGGCCCATAAAGCAGAGGGTCAGCGAACATGAGGAAAACCTTCCTTGGCATGGATTGACAATGGGCTCACATGGTGATGATCCGGTGAGGACCACACAGAACCAGGCAGCGTCTTGGAGATGCCATTTTAGCTGTTTTTAAGTATATGATTCATGGGCAAGTGCTCATTACTTTCATAATGTTGTGTAATCATCACTACTATGGATCAAGTTTTAAAATCCAATCTGCCAAATCCGATCTTTTTATTTGTGTATTTGGGCCATCTGCATTTAATGAAATTATTGATATGTTAGGGTTTCCATTTGACATGTTGAAAGTTTACTGGCGATGTCATTTTAGCAGTTCAAGTAAAGTATAGAAACCTTGTCTTTAAGTCTGGTTACTCTCCTTTTACTATGAGAATTCTCTCAAATACTACTGCTATATAATTTTTGAACCATATCAGAGAGTAGTATAATTTCAATTGTTTATTATTTCCAGAGTAATTTAGAAGACACAAGTGGAGAAGAAAGCTTAATATATTTTCCTCTTTCTTGTTTACCATGTTTCCTTTTCCGTCCTGAGACTTCAAAGTGCCCTCTTTTGTTTAGAAAACTACTCTCCGCCATTCACTTCCAGTAGAGCTGCTGGTGACAGATTCTCCTAGCTTTCCTTCATCTTAGAAGGTCTTGACTTCCTGTTTATTCTCCTAACGTTTATCTTGGCTAGGCACAGAATTCTAGATGGGAATCTTTTCTTTCAACATTTAAAAAACAATCTGTCCCTCCTTTCTGACATCTATTATTTTTATGAAGAATATTCTGTCCTAAGGATAGTATTTCCTCTTAGGAATTATCTTGTGGCCTTTTGGGGCTTATCCTGCTTGGTGTTCACCTAACTTCAGGACTATAAAGGTGTATGTCTTTACCAATTTTGCCAAGTTTTCAGCCATCAGTTTTCTCCATCCCACTAGGCTCTATTTCTAGGACTCCTATGACAAGAATCGTTGGTTACAGTTTTATAGGACCCTGAGGTTATGCCAAGTTTGCAACATCGATTTTCTCTTCAAAAGCTGGACAATGACCAGGGAAGACTGCAGGCGAATGGGTGCATTTCAATCGTGGTGTTGAAGAGTACTGAAGATCCCGTGGCCTGCCAGAACAACAAACACGTCTGTCTCGGAAGAAGTACAACCAACACGCTTCTCAGAAGTGAAGACGGAGGAGACTTTGGATACATGCGTTAGCAAGAGACCATGCTCGGTAAAGTACAAGGTCAGTGAAAAAGAGGAAGGCCATCCAGGAGATGGATGAACAGTGATCACCACAATGACCACCGCGGTGAGGAGGGTGCATCTGGGCAGTGCTTCTCTCTGTTGTGCACAGCGTCAGTCTGAGTCAGAAGTGATGCCAAGCACCTGCCGTTTTCTCTGTTGTTTCATCTGGGTCACTGCTGGTGTGCTGCCTTTCAGTTCACAAATTCTTTGCTCTATCCATTCCATTCTGCTACTGAGCACATCACCAAAACCCAACGCTGTCGTCTTGATTGCATTCCCTACTGACCCTGTGGGCAGAGTAGAAGTGGCCCACAGGGTGCATAGGGAGGGCTGTGAAGCTTTACAGAAGCAGATGACAATACTTTTCTTCCATAGAGTGGCTGGTAGGTTGAAACCAACTTACCAGTTAGCAGGTGAGTGCTTTAACCACTGAGCCCCTGAACACATCTATTGGGTGCTTCTTGTTGTTTTCACTATACTTTTTAAAAATTTAAACTTTTCATTGGGTCTTTTCATCCTCTGTTTCTTTGCTGAGATTTTCTACTTGTTTTGGGACTTTCTGTGGGTGGATTCATGCTTCCTCCTGGTGTCATTTCTGTGACGACTGCTTGAACACCCTCCTCAGATCATTCCCACTTACGGGCCACCGGGGAGGTGATTTTTCTCTCTTCAAGTTGAGATGCTATTGGTTCGTGGTTAAATGAGATTTTTTTATTGCTACCTGAATACACTTGTTATGCCATGAGATTCTGGATCTTGTGTAAAACTTTTGGGTAGGCTGGCTTCTTTAACAGTGGCCTGGCAGGGAAAGGCGGAACATCACCTTGTCATGGTAACTTGGAGACAGAAATCCAGGCTCCTCACTTGTTCTCGGCTGACACCCAAGGAAGATTTCCTCCTGGCTTAAGGAGGGTGAAAGGGAGAGCTCCTGACTGCCCAGTGAGGTGAATGTTCTGGCTCCCTATTTGGCTTTCTCTGACATGGTTCTGGCAGGGCTGCTGGGGCGCGTCCTACAGCCTGGTGGAGGGTGGAAGTCTAGGCTTCCCACCTACCTTTGCTGGCATGGGTGGGGCCACCATTTTCTTTCTGGTGCTAAGCCTGAGTAGAGCTGTCTTTGTCTACAGGTGTCCCTTTCCTGGTCCCTTGGCCAGAGTGAGTTGGGTTTTGTTGGCGTGTTTTTGGCTGTCCCTTTTGCTGTTTCAGCGTGGCTGGCTTCCCCAGCTCCACTGCTGTGATACAGGAGGCCAAGTGTAAATGCAGGCAATGCACTGGTATCATCCCTCAGGCCCCGAGTGTACAGGCCAGTCTGCCTTCTTTGCTCCACCTTTCGGAGTTCTCTTTAAGACTAGTTTTAGATGTACTTCCAGAACTTTGAAAGGGTTGCCTTTGTAGTTAGGGGACAGAGTAGGAAAAAAACAGTCGATTCCACCTTCCTAAGCAAAATTGTGTTAACTTACTTTCAGCTAGATTAAACGTTTGTAAAGGTCATCATTTTAGAATTAATAAATTGAGGAACTGTCAAAAATTGAAGCATTTAGGAACGACTGGAGAAAAGCCAATTGCTAATTTTACAACAAGGTCATCTTTGTTTAAGCAGGTATATAAGCAAATGTGGTGAAGAAAGCTGATGATACCCAGCTATCAAAAGAGATAGCGTCCGGGGTCTTAAACGCTTGAAGATAAACAAGCGGCCATCTAGCTCAGAAGCAACAAAGTCCACATGGAAGAAGCATACCAGCCTGTGTGATCACGAGGTGTCGATAGGATCAGGTATCAGGCATCATGGGAACAAAAAACCACATCATTGTGAATTAAGGGGAGTGCAGAGTGGGGACCCAAAGGCCATCTGTAGGCAGCTGGACATCCCCTTACAGAAGGGTCTCAGGGAGGAGACGAGCCAGTCAAGGTGCAGTACAACAATGATGAACCATACAACTTTCCTCTAGTTCTTTAATGCTCCCCCCTCCCCCACTTTCATGAACCCAATTCTACCTGACAAATCCGGCTAGACCAGAGGATGTACACTGGTACAGATAAGAACTGGAAATATAAGGAATCCAGGACAGATAAAACCCTCAGGACCAATAATGGGAATAGTGATACCAGGAGGGTGGAGGGAAGGTGGGGTAAAAAAGGGGGAACCAATCACAAGGATCTACATATAACCCCCTCCCTGGGGGACGGACAATAGAAAAGTGTGTGAAGGAAGACGTCAGACAGTGTAAGACATGACAAAATAATAATTTATAAATTATCAAGGGTTCGTGAGGGAGGTGGGGCGGGGAGGGAAAATGAGGAGCTGATAAGGGATCAAGCAGAAAGCCAATGTTTTGAGAATGAGGATGGCAACAAATGTATAAATGAGCTTGACACAATGGATGGATGTATGGACTGTGATAAGAGCTGTACAAGCCCCCAATAAAATGATTTTTAAAAGATCATCTTTGTTTTATGAAATTATGAATATTGTTGTATGATCAGTATCAATAATTAAGCTGTCTTAATTAAGGAAATTCTTCACATGTAGCCAATTTATGTTAGTGTAAGAAAAGCCTGTCCTTTAAATAAAGAGAATCTCAAATAATGTATTTTTAAACTTATTATATCACGGCAATAAAAGTCACACTGCTAACTAGCTTGTTACCATCAAAAATACTAAAACTTGTTTTTTAAATGCCAATCTTCTATTTCAAAGTTTCACACAGAAGAGAACCATTTGACATTAGTTTTATGTAGCTTTCTCTTCCTCCTCCCGTAAGTAGATTTGTCTACTGAATTCCCCTAAGTAATCATGTGGCAACTTGAGATTACTCCCAAACAAAATGTTGGCAAAGCACTTAAAGAGAATGAGTCAAAACAGTTTAACAGGTTTAGCTCATCATATTACATATTGATGAATAGCAAAATAAACTGTGTAAAATTTAAAACACCAATACATTTTAAATATTTCGACCAGGATTAAAATGAAAAGAAAAAGAATTTGTCATAAGCTTTTAGTGAAACAGACTATAAATCAGGTTACACAAGAAACAAATATAGATATTTTGAGAATTACCGTTAACATTAAAAAGATGAAAGCAGATATTCCTAAAATAAGGATTTCTTTGTTCCCTTTGCTTTCCATATGCAGCTTTCGATAATACGGTCCTATTAGATACGTCTTTATAACAAGACATAAAAGAAAAACAGCTGCGAGTGAAAAGAGAATTTGACCAATCAAAACCAGTATTCGCAGTATTTCCATGAATATGCTAGGAGAAAGAGAGAGAGAGAAAAGTTACTTTATCTTCAAAACACAATTCTCTAAAACCCAGTAAAATGATCTTTCACGCTTTTTTTCCTCATTGATATTACAAACTAAATTACCCAAATAGTACAGTTTTATTTCCAAATGCTGAAAAAAGTTAGAAATCATATTAATATCAGAAATTGAGCTATTTGAATTAAATGTAGAAGCTGAATTAGAATCAATATTTGGAGTAAATAGATTTTATAGAATGTAAAGTCTCTTGATATCATAAGCAGTGTCTGATAATAAAATTCCTCACCAAGAATTAATCTCCACTTGATGTTCTTTGGAAGGCAATCATTAGCCTGTAATATTACCCTTTAGACACTCACCACTGGAAACATGGCATGAATAACAACTTTCAGCAAAATATTTTCTTATCACAACCAGAATTCTCAATTTCATGTCTATTTTTTAGTCATAGAAAAAAACTCCTTTACTAGGCTTTTAAAAATACATGTTTTAATCAGATCTTGGGATATATTCTTAACATTATCAGCTTAATGGCTTTCACACTAAAGGTATGACCTCATATTTATCATATTTACAACACTAATATTTTAAAAATATTGATCTCCAACATATTTAGAAAACATGCACTGCAAAATTTGGTGGAAAATTTTTCCTTATCAATGGAAGAATATGTATCTTATTACAAAGAAAGTATTTGTCACTGCAGTCAGGCTTAAAATAGCAGCGCTGAAAACACAAATCTCAAGTTGGCACATGATTACTTAGGGAAATTAGAACAGAGTTGGGCTTGAAGCAAAGAAAGGTAGGATAAATAAACCGATACTGGGTAGGCAAATGCTAAGGAAAATCCTTAGTCAGGCTGAAAGATTCTGCATTTGCTCATGAAGAGGGTGAGAAACAAGGAAATGAATGAGTAAGAATAGAATTTACTGTTATAAACAAATTTAAATAAAATAACTTAATTTATCTAGAATTCATGACCAGTTTTCCACAGCCCAGTAAGACCACTGAGCGAATCTTTCAAGTCAAGCCAAACTTGATTGTTATCTTTCTCTGTACACAACCAAATACACCCACAAGGCCTCTACCACGCCGTCTGGGCTTGAATCTGGCCCCTTGGTCCACCCTATCACCAGCAGCTTGGCTAGTTCACTACCCTCACCTTGCTCCTAGACCACTCCAATGAACTCTCAACTGATCTTATCCACTCTTGCCTGACTGCAATCCCCTTTCCAAAGACGCCAAGCATCGTGTTAAGAATATGTATCCTATGAGTTAAAGCTTCCTATGATACTTAAGTGAAATTCCAACTTCTTTCCCCAGTATGCACATATCACCTCACTGATTATCTTTTGTTCCTCTAAGGGAGTGGTTCTCAACCTGAGGGTCACAACCCCTTGGGGGGGTCAAACGACCCTTTCACACGGGTTGCCTAGGACCATTTGAAAACACATATTTCTGATAGTCTTAGGAACTGAGACATTGTTCCTCTATCTGCATATCCAGGAGGGTCCACCCACATGCAGATATGCCCACATATGAGGACCCAGCATGAAGACTGTTACCCATGCTACACCATCCTTCAAGACAAAATTTCACTGATTTGTCATTAGAAATAA